TGGTAATTTTTCTTTCTAAAATAACAACCAAGGTGTCCAAACTCACATACTAAGTGCCAGTAACTGTGGAACCACTTAAACCAACTCAAATAGACCACAACCATCCTATTTATACATCTAAACCACAACAATGACATTCTATACAAGATTTGACCATCAAATTGTTAGTTTCAACATAATTTCCTAGGGGTAACAACATTTCATCATAAATAGTTGTAAAACCACACAACTACATAAATGTCCATCAAAACAACAACTGTACTAATATTTCGACCCTTCATAACTATTACAAGATTCCAAGTCGAGATATCTATAGTTTGTAATAATATTCATGCAAGTGTCCTCAAAATGACATATGTTCTTAAGTTGGCATATGCATATTAATTCATTACAAAACAAAAGAAAAAGAAAGGACTATAAAAACACTAGTTCCTTTAATGCTCATCAGCACGTTCCTTCCCTTTACCCTTATCAGAGAATTCACTTGAAAAATATAACCATAAGGTGAGTCAAGGACTCAATAACTAAATCAAACTACTCATGTGTAAGAACAGATAGTGCATATATTAGGCATATAAAACATAAAGAACAAGTTACATACATACTTATAGTTATAGAATGATATGTATGATCAGTGCACCACCTTATACTCTCCTTATATCTTTTAACTGAATCTGTAGGCTGATAATTCAAGAAAACCAAACCCATATGACTAGATTGGCTCAAGCTCACTAATTGTAAGAGGCAGTCCTAGCGAAGAGCAGCTTTACCCACTACGAACCATAGATCCTCCCTGTCCATGAATACTGTAAAGTTCCTTAATCATCTGAACTTTACCATCACATCCATACCTATAACAATACGATCAATAATATAAAATCAGAGTAATAGCCTTTTATTTTTTTTCAAAATACGGGATCCTGACTTTGTCAAACATATGTTCAAATAAGAGGGCTAATGGAAGTATAACATACAACTCAAGACTAAAAAAAGCATAATTATTTTTTTGTGAAACACGCTATGCACTACAGCTTACACTACCATGCATCATGGCATGTGGTACAGACCAACATACTATGTTCTTCTTTGTGCCATGCACTGTGGTATGGCACACAATGTGCCACGACGCATATAATAGCAAAATCTATTATCATAAAACAATTTGCAGGGCAAACTTCTATCACGCGCCATTTCTACATCCGACGTTCAATTGAAGTGATTCAATCGCCCACATAAAGCTTATAATATATTCTATCTAATGAGATAAGTTTGGACTTGACCTAATGGTCTAATCTAAAATTGAATACCAAGGTGTAAAAAGCTACTTTTTCTTTCAAAACTTGCACCATAAGTGCTCAATTTTCATTTGTTGTCCTATTAAACTGCTTTAGGCCTTGAACTAAGTCTAAAAGGACTACATACACCTGATTAATACTTCTAATCACATATATCACATCAATTGTCCATTTTAACCTCTTAATTCCATATTACACAATTATGGGTTTGTATGAGGAATATACAAACAATCACATATACATATAAACTTGTTCTACTTTCATCCATCCGACTGTCACATATGGGGCTCCATCTCACCATATAGTCAAGTATCACAAATATACTCGACTCTTCTAAATGGGACTTTGCCTCACCATTTGTGTCAAGTTCTTACATATGCACATAATTTCACATAATAATTCACATATATATAAGTGGAACAAGTTACATAATAACATACACTTGCTTGATTGGCATTTAGGCCTACCTATATAGCCACTGTTGTGGTACCCTCAGTGAGATGCAAAATCATATACAAAAGCAAGTTTTCATGATACAATTCAGATACATATTCACATATTTGTTTTCACATACAACTATATATCCTAGTTGGCTACTTATCTCTAACAACATATTATATATTCATTTACATAATGGTAGTCATACCATTGCCAATCGAAGCTACTCTTTCCTTACTTCCTTTCTTAGCCTTCTTCTACTCTCTTCACCTGTGTACAAAGGTAATGGAGTGAGACATACGTCACAGTAACTTGGATATAACCCAAATATCAGTTATTAAGCAAAATTATAAATAAGAAATAAAGTAGTAAGTGTTTCAGTAAAAATAATATCATATGCATATATATATAAGGATTCATACACATCATCCATCATGTTCATGTTCATGCATTTTTTATTTCACCTAGTGGAGCAAGCTTTTTACTTAAATTGGGACTTCCAGTCTTATCTAAAATAGGGCCCACCATACCATTGTTCAAACTAGGTATCTTCTTTATGTATGGGTGGTCTCCTAGGTCCTTCCTAGCGGAGTCAAGCTCTATACTCAAGACCTTTAGGACTTCCTAGCCTTACAAATAGTAGGACTGCGACCCCCTATCCTAGTCTAGGGTGTACTCGTGAATCATTATCCTAGGTCCATCGTAGTGGAGTCAAGCTCTGTACTTGAGACCTTTAGGATCTCTTAGGTCCTTCTTGGTAGAGTTAAGCTCTACACTTAACACTTTTAGGACTTCTTAAAATTGCATAGAGTAGGGCCATGACCCCTACCCTAGTCTATGGTATACTCACGGATGTAATGCACATGTTTATGCATATGTCTCTTCTCATACATTTCATGCATCACTCTAAGGTAAGTTTGTCGCGGTGGATAGTACAGAGAGGCTCAAACTTGTTTTGGGCCTCTCTTTATGCTACGGTCCACTTAAACTTAAGCTTAGCTCTCTTTTAAGGCTATCCAATGATTCGAAAACCATATTAGTCTTCTAAAAAAACATCTTTAATTAAAAACTCACTTAAATTTACCAATCTATCTTTCTAAACACTTGAAATTTTCAAGATTTAAAATCTAGGATGTTACAACCTTTATGTCTCATTCCTCATAGTTAACATTTTTACAAGATAAAATGTAACCGAAGGAGCACTAAAGGCATAATTTGGTGAATGAGACATGATATTTTATTTTGATGAGCAATTTATATCTTGCCAACCTAAGATAATTGTTATTTTGATGACATGTAAACTCTATTGATGATTACATTGCATCTTTATTTGTCAAAAGGATTTTGTCTATCCCTCTTGGTCATTGATTTGACTAGTAAAACTATACCATAAAGATTATGTCTATCCCTCATGGTTTATCCACTTATTTTGTTACTAATGAAATGTTTAAGCATTGAAAATACTGCAAAATAGTATGTTTTATGATTTGAAATATTACTAATTACAATTGAATTGTGGACTTCAATTGAATAATGGGGTAGATTGAGAAAAATACTATTTGGGCACAATAGGGCATTATTGTTTAGATCTATCATTTGAGAAAAATATGTTTATCCAATTAAAGTCCAGTATCTACTTTCATGATTGGTCTTTTTTTTTTTGGAGATCCTTATGAGTAACGATATATTATTTGGAATTATGCCGCCCTAGGAACTATGCTTCTATATTTGTTGTGATTTTGAAATAACTATTAGATTTCAAGTATTGATTTTTCAAATAGGATCTTGTGTTGTACAACATTTGTACAATAATAATTCCGTAAATAATATATTTTCATTGAATTTTTAAGAAAGTATACATCATATATGGATAATTTATAATTACATTCACAACTGAATATCTAATATTAACAAAATATTGTTCATGTTTTCACAACATATAATCCAATCTTTGACCATTAGAAGATTAAAAGCTAAAGTTCCAATGAATGCTACTACATAGTAAAATGTAGAAGTCATCCTCCCTATCTAATGGCGATGTGTGACAATTTCACATGAGGACTCTTGAATCAGATCATCCAAATAGAGCTTTTGAGGCCTATAAAAAGTTAAATTAGAACCCAAGATGAAATCTAGAAATATCACCATATAGATTAACACTTTTGAAAAAGGAAACAAAGCTAACAAAACTTAAAGCTATATTAGAATACTAAAAGCCATAAACTACACCAAATTTGATTTGTTCATCTTTAAACAAATACCCAAAAATGAGGAGAAGTTGGAGACGCGTGAGCGGATATAGATTGAGTGATAAATGGGAAAGAAAGGAAAGAATGGGATTTAAGGAAGAGGAGGGAGAGAAGAGATAGAAGTAAGAGGAAGAGAGAGAAAGAGGAGAGGAAAAAGAAAATATCATATTGTCAAATTAGTTAGTTTTGAGAGGGGCAAATGGGTCTTTTCTAGCTAAAACATATTTTCATCTAAGGTTCTCAAGCTTACAGAGACATTTTAGATTGTATTGAGTCTTAAGTGTAATTTTATTTCCTTTGAGGACCCTGGGTGCGATTCTCTCTATTTTTTTTTTTAAAATGGGGCCAATCTAAAGGTTATGCAGGTTGTGTTTAGCTCAACATTTGAGTAGCTTAGGCTAGTTAAACTTATTTTTTAAAAAATTACTCATTTCCAAGCCCAACTTGTCAAAATTAGTAGGTTTGCAAGCTAGCCCATCAAGCCAAACCTGTTTTATTGACTTTATTTCATCAAGTAGCACCAGCCTTTAAAGTTCAACTTCTTAAAAGAGGAGTAGGTGGCAGAGCAACAATTTTATTCAATTTCTTTTAAGTTCTTTCAATAACAATCAAAAATTCAGGCAACCAAACTCACTTGAACTCACAATCACACAAAAAAGAACCTAAAATTGATACACTAATTCACAATCATCATCAAACACTAAGGAAATTGACCTAACAAAGTTGAAAACTTGGTTGAGCATAGCCATGCAGTTTTGTCATAATGATTCGAGCATTAGATAGGAGGGGGAGAGATCGCGCACGAAGACTGGAGACGAGCATTCAGAATTTTCATTTCAATTCAGTGAGGATATTTTGGTCATCTTTTGCTTCCATTTTATATCATAGAGCGACCTTATTCTCCAAAACTTTTCAAGGCCTCCTATTCAGAAATTAATTCCTTGGTAAAGTCCTTTCCAGCAATCTTCCCCTAATTTTATTATATTATTCATGCGCTTTTAAATTCGTTAAATAAAAAATGTTAAACCTAGCCAACGCCTCTAATGACTCCACGCCTTCCCACCTCTCGGTCACGGGTAAGGAGTTGCCAATATTACCCGCTCTCACTTCGTCAGTGTCTCAGTCTCTCTCCCTCAGTCGACTTGTCCCTAGAAGATGAAATCTCGCTTATCCCCAGTCTCACTTAATCGCTCAAACGACCTCACTACGTCAGTCTTGTCTCACTCCCTTTGGTATTGAATCGTGTAAGTCTTCTCTGCTTCCTCTCGACTTAATTTGTTCTCCTTGATTTGCTAATATTTACTTTGGTGTGTTGCTTGCTCAATGGCTCAAGTGTAATGATTGTGCTCTGCTTGTTCCCCTCCTTACATTTTCTTTCTCCAATGGCTTAATGTTACTAGTTATTCAAGCCCTAATTTGTTATATTTACTTGAAGTGCCCTCCTTCCATTTCCCCCCTTACATATAGAGACTCTGTGTCTGTATCGAGTCTTCTGATGACAATGAATTCGGTGGCAGTGAAACTTGCAAAGCATCTAAGAGTGTCTGCTTCGACGTCCTCTTTTCATGGTTCTCTTTCTTTTCCCCTTACTTTCATTTCATGAATTCTTTCTTTTTTTTTTTTCCTTTTCGATTTTCTATACACTTGTCTTGGTTTGTTTCTTATTTGTGCAAATGGTACTTCGAACTTGGAACGAGCATGAAGAAATTAATGGTGAGGACAAGAAGTTTTCTGCTTAAGATACATTTATGGTCAATTGTTCATATATCATGCATAACATTCACCATTATACCAACATAATGTAGCACGGCCATACTCCAAATTGATTCCCCCAGTCTTCTCTCTCAGTGCTTGGGATTCTCAAAAACCTCCTTGGCCTTCACTCATCCACTACTCTCCCACGACTTCCACTTGTGTGAATGTTAATTGCTTCTTGTCTCTTGGAATAAGATTTTTGGGCTGAATTATCATTTGGCCCAGCAAGCCCATTAGATACTATTGGTTATTTAATTATTGTATTTAGTAGTTGCTATGCAGAGAAGTGGGAGGTTATGTTACTCAACAACATCTGGAAGTGATGATGATGAAAGTGTAGATGATAATGAGAAGCCAAAGAACAATGCTTTTGATGAAGAAGTTGACAATTTTCTTGGCAATCAGCCTGGTTGGCAGCTACAGGGTGTGGATCCAAAGAGGGGTTGGAACTTTCCAGGTGTGTACTAGGCATTGAATACTCGAAATTTAGCAATCCATTATTACAGTTAGACATCCCTAAGGATGGATTTGGATTGGGTAATAGCAGAAGAGCGAGTTCATTTATTTTATTGGTGCTGTCAGACCCATTGTAGGTTTTTGTTGCTGTGCTGATTTAATCAAGTGCTTTCTTCTGCATGACTTGAATGAAAAACTAGTTTTGTAATTATCATACAGTGTTTTATGAAGCTTGACTGTTTGAGCAAACAGTCTGAATTGATTTTGGAAAATAACCTTGCAGTAGCCAGTTATACAGAAATTCTCAGTGATCAAAGTTTTAGAAATTAAACGTCACTCTTCCTGAGCATAAAATAATGATCTGTCTGCATATTTCACTTGAGGAATTATTTAACCTACATGTAGTGATATGACACAGGCCATCATTTATGGAAAAGTTGGTCAGGCCCCTGTTCAAAAGGTAGTGAGGAATGGGAAGAATGTCACAGTCTTTATAGTTGGGACGGGGGGATGTTTGACTAGAGAACTGTGGGGGCAAAGGATTTACCAAAACCTGCTCAGTGGCATCGGATTGCTGTGCATAATGATGTTCTCAGGGTTTATGCAGTACAACAACTTGTAAAGAAGTGAGTGCAGAAATTTAGATGATAAATTTTGAGATCATCCTGGATAGATAAACATGATACACTCTGGTGTGAGTTCTGTTTTGTTTTTTTTCCCTCATGCTTGAAGCTTTAATGCAGCTCTTCAGTTTATGTTGAGGGTGAAATTGAGACAAGAGTTTACAATGACAGAATCAACGGTGAAATTAAAAGCATTCCAGAGATATGTGTTCGACATGATGTTACATTGATCTATATTCTATATCATGTTGGCACTCACTACTTGTTTTTGGCCCTTGCTGCTTATCATTTCTTTTCATTCTTAACCTGATAATTAAGATTATTGATTCCATTAATATACAGTTTTTCCCTATCCTTTTCCATTTTTTAGGTTAGAATACATAATTTTTTTTAAATGACTGTACATTCATGTTTCTCACAGAATAAGTATAGCTGAAACTGATCAATGGGATGGTAGAACTTGCTATTTTGAAATTTGAGTCTACTCTAACAAAGTATATAAAGGACATTTGTTAAAGAAAAAGGGCACTCATTAACTGTTTCCATGGTTTGCTTCTGCAATAGCAAAGCATATAAATCCTTATGTTCAAGTCTTTGGGAAAGAAACCAAAAGAAGTATTGATTTTATCAACTCTGTTTTAGTAACCTAAGTAAGGGGCATCAGATGCAGAGGTGGAAAATCTCAGGCATGCTGTCCAAGATTGGGATGAGAGCTTTATGTGGCTCTGATAGATGGGAACTGGGGGAACAAGGGATCAATGCTGAAGTTCAAGCTGAACATTTGCTGAAATAGGAGTTTACCCTTGCGGCATCAATATTTATTAGTTTTGCCGTTGCAGCAATAAGCGTCTTCATATATAGAAGTAATGCATCATTTGCTAATCATTTAATTAATGGATGACAAAATATACTTTTACTCACAGTAATTCTTCAGTTTAAAGTGTTAAATATGTTTTCTTAACAGGGTGAAGCTACGTTTTTTTGGGTGGCTTATTCCATTGCATCGTTCTTGGTATACACTTTCAGTGGTGATTTGACGGGGTGCAAAATATTAGGGGTCAGAGGATCCTAAACAGCTAAAATCCCTGAAGTAGGCAAAACCATAGAATTTTATTGTAGTTAGCATCAAATATTGTAATCTTTGTTTGGTTCGTAACAAATTGAAAGTTCAGCTGCTCTCAACATTTGCTTCTGCAGGGAAAATTCGGCGTATAAGGAGTGGAGAAAGCTTGAGTAAAATTTCCTTGGATGATATAGCTAACTGTCTTTAACCATAGTTGTAAGCGGTGGTATGGTTTAATTTGTGGTTTCAGCATGTTCTGTGCTCTATGGAAGATAATACCCTTGGGATCATCAAATGTTTTGGCTACCGTTAACCCATGTGATTGTGTGACAAAAGAAAATCCGTGAGATTGACGAGCAGAAGCGGCCTATTCCTTAGAAAGTATACAAGGCCTTGTGTTGTTTCGATCTATATCATTCCCCATTTTCAAGTTGTGTAATTATGATCTGATTGTTTTTATTGTTATCGATCTCTAGTTTGATTGTTTTTCTGTAGTTTCTTGATATTGTGATCTATAATGATCCCCCACTAAGATGCAGAAATTGTATGATTTCTAATATAACCTGATTTGCCTGTTTTTTAATATGATTTTTCTGTGACCTTGTATTAAAAAATTGTGAAATTAGGATATGACACTAACGGATATATTGAGCAGTTACATAAATTCTTGATCGCATGTGAAATTTGTAGCAAATTGTATTAATATCTTATTCAAATTTTGCACAACTGCATCAAAATTTACCTACCAAAAAAAAAATTAATATATTATTCATAAGATATGAACAATTGTCCTGCATGGGAAGTACAATGAGTTAATTTGAAATGTTGAGAGGAAGTCCTCTTGTCGAGTTGATTTGTTCACAATCTCAGGTTGAAAGAATCGTAACGAGTTTAGGTGGAACCGCATAATCATTGCAATATCGCGATTATAATAGCATGTCAACAAGTTGAAAATTTATGTGATTGGATGAATTTTCATGAGAAAAATTCAAGGATCACTATATAAAATTTATATCTCATAAGGATCAAATAATTTAATAATAGCATTGCAGTTCTTTGATCCTTTTGGTATATTAATTCTATATGTGAAAAGATTGAAATGTTTCTTAGTTTAAAAAAAAAAAAAAGAAATTCTATTGTCGTTGTCAGTGACATTTTATTTGAAAATTTAAATTTTTAAGTGGTTAAGGGTGAGTTTAATTTAATGACATTTGACCACTTAAAAAACTTGGTGGCTTTTTAATATATATTTGGCAAAAAAAGTTATAAGTAGTAAATCAAACACAAAATCACTTTCATGTAATAACTTAATGTGTGTTATTAATTTTTGAATGAAACTTGTTAGTTTAAGAATGTTATTTGTTAATCTGACAAATAATTACAAAATTGAAGTTTTAAAACTTTACTCATTCTATTTATTAAACGTCCAATGTATTGTTATCAATTAGAGATAGGTTATTGTCAAAACAAAATAAAAACTTGTTAAAAAAAAATTGATAGGAAATGTCAGTATGTGTTAGTCATTCACTAACAAGTATTCATTTGATTTTGACAGTAATCTATTTATGATTGACAACAACACATTGAGACGTTTAATAAGTAAAATAAGTGAAGTTTTAAAATCTCTAATTTGTAATTGTCTATATTAGATTAATAAGTGACATTTATAAAATATCAATTTATTTAAAATTAACAAGAATCTATTATGGTTTTAATAAGTTAGAAAAATGATAGGAAGGGTTTAGTTGTAAGTGTTAGTCATTCACTAACAAATATCTATTTGGTTTTGACAACAACCTATTTATAATTGACAATAATATATTAGGACGTTTAACAAGTAAAATGAGTGAACTTTTGAAACTCTCAATTTATTATTATACATGTCAGATTAACAAGTGATATTCATAAAATAACAAATTTCATTCAAAAATTAACAACACACATTATGTTATTACATGAAGGTAGTTTTGTGCTTGGATTACTACTTACAATTTCTTTTTGCCATATATATAGGTTACCAAACTTTTTAAGTGGTCAAAGGTTATGAGATCACACCTATCCTTAACCACCTAAAAACATTAGTTCTCAAATAAAATGTTGTTGGCGTCGTAGCTTCTACGACTGTCGTTGGCAATAGTGGTTTGACTGCCAATGCTGGCGACGATAGGAGTTTCTTAACTATGAGAGGCATTTCAGTTTTTTCACCTATGGAATTAATATATCAAAAGAACTAGAAGGCTGCAGTATTATTATCAAATTATTTGATCTTTATAAAATATAAATTTTACACAGAAATTCTTGAATGCAATTTTTCTAATTTTAATTATTATTTATCTTATTTATTTCCCTTACCCCTCCAACCTCACCCTCTTTTTTGACAAAAAAGCAATATTATTAAAATTAGAAGAAAGAAGGCACATTGACAAGAGTTGAAGGACAGACACGTGGAAAGGAAATCATGCATCTTCTACAAGTCTCTGGATGAAAGTAGGAAAATTAACAAAATCAAAAGTAGACAATAATGGTAAGGTATATCCTTCGATACAGCTGTAGCTGGAGCTGGAGCTTTTGTGCTGTTGAAACGGAAGAATAATCTTGGGGCACAGTAAGTTCTGATACTTTGATTTTTAATGCCATTGTTGTTCAAGAACTCGCTGATCCAAAAGAGAACTCGCCGGAGGCAATCATCCGCATACGAGCTTCCTGTTTTGGTTCGATGGCCGCGCAAAGCATTGGTAACCTTGGAAGAGCTAAAAATTTCAACCATCGGTTTGTCCCAGAAAACCATAATTTTAAGATCAAATTTTGCTTTATGTTCCTTTTCCATGCACAATAAATTCCAACCATCTTCAGGTGACCGTTGAAGCGACTGAACTGGAAAAGGTGTTGATGTTTCACTTGTAGCAAACATCAATGAGGTATGTAACTCTTTGCTCAATTTCTCTGATGATTGCTTCTGGAAGTGTGAGTGTACCTTCATGAATAGCCTTGTTTCTCTTTTCCCAAATTAAACTTACTAAAGCAAAAATCTTAATTAGATCTCGGTGCTAATCTTTCTGGATGAAAAGAGAGATTAGATTTTTCAATTTCCTTGAGGACTCCCCATCGACAAGATTGATAGAATGGATCAACATAGATCCAAACTAGATAGCTTTAGATAATGTGGACATGTGAGAAACAAGTGATTGATGGATTCTTCTTCTGGACATCCAGAAACACAAAGCTGTCGAGAAATTAGGTGATGGTGATTGAGAATATCCCCAGTCGGAATTGCCTTGTTGAGTAGTTTCCACATAAACAGAAGAAGATATTTCAATGGAAGCTTGATTTTCCAAAAAGGTTTCCAGAAAAGATCCTGTTGAGCATTTGGAATTAAATTCTTGTAGCAATCTGAGACTGAATAAAATCTAATAGAGCTGCCATCCCAAGCAATTTAGTTCAAATTCCCAAGTAATGAGATCGGTTCAGAGAGAGAAGTATTCAATGGAAGGGTTGGAAAGAGTGAAGAAATGAGATTGTTGTTCCATGCAATGGAAGAAGTTGGCAGGCGGGAGCCAGAAAATTTTTTTGAGGACCGAAATAACAAAGCATATACGATAATCGAAAGAAAATTAAATCTATATATATTATTAATATAACACATATTTCAACTTATATATTATATTCAATGTTACATACACACATAACAAAAATATATATATCTTCATTTTTTAAATTTTATTTATTAATTTTTTATGGTATAAGAATAATTAATTATCATGTTTATGATAAAATTTTTAAAATTTTTTTTAATATAAACTATCATTAAATTAGTGAAGATTTCATTTTTCTCGTAAGCATTGAGTAATTTAAATACATTTTTGAGATCTAAAGTTTTATTTAATGTAAAAAACTCTATTACTTGTTTATTAAATTTACTATTTAATTCTTTTAATTGATTGATATATTCTTTATCCAATATATTTTAAAATTTTTATTGCAATGCTTTATAAAATTGTTAATAATAATTCTCATAATTTCTTTTATCAAATATAAAATGAAAGTAAAATTAAATGATATCAATGTTTTAAGAGCAGCTGAAATGTTAGCTTATTGAAAATATGTGAATTTTATGATAACTATATCTTCAAACTACTGCAACAATTAAACTATATATGCATAAAAGACTATTATAAAATTAAAATGAGAATTTCATCTGATGTTTCAAAGTTTCTATAATGTATCAATTTAGGGGGTTGAAAGTATATAATCCCTATATTTTATTAAAAAAATTAAAAAATTAGGGGATGTTGTGGCCATTACTGATTCCCTGAATTCACCCCGAAAGTTGGTTTCCTGTTCCATGGAGGAGATCAGAAACCTTTTTGTCACCTAATTATGGGTTTTAGATACCTTTAAGGATCCAAAGGTGACTTTAACCCTCCGCTTGGATGAGAAGAAAAATTAAAAGGAAAGAAAATGAGAGTAAAAAAAATGAGGAAAAGAAAATATTATCACTTCTTGTATTTGGATAGACAAGAGAAAACAAGAAGGAAAGAAAATGAGTAAACATTATAATGACAATAATAACCTAATGTTAAAATATATCACATTTCATATAATTATCTTTATGAAAATAAATTTAAAAAATTATATTAAATTAACATCACCGAAATAATTTAAAAGGAAATTAGTTCATAAAAAATGTATTTTCATGTTACTGTAATTTAATATCAAATAGTTTAGTAGAAGTATGTGGTTTTTGTATTAAAAAAATAAAAATTATGTATTTTTTTAAAAATCAAATACAATAACAGATTTTCGTCTAAGTTGAATACTCTGTCCAAAATTATCCCCACTCAATGTTGTGCTTCCATTAAATGAATACTGTCCTTACAATTAACAACAGAGTTTGTGTAGATTTTTTTTTTTTTTGTTCACCTGGAAGAGTTTGTGCAGGTGGTATGCTATGAAAAGAAGAAAGCATTGCATGTCATTGAGTTGAGCATTATCTACGTTGAAGACAAAAAATAAGGTAGCCAGGTTTAGGAAGAGAACGCGTGGGAGAGTGAGGGCAGACATAGAAGAATGATTTTCTTTCTAAAATCTCTCCATGTATGGAGAGAAAACTTGAGAAAAAAAATATAGTAGGTTTCATACTTCATTTTCTATTCCACTTTTCCTTCCTTTCACTTTTCTTTCCTCTTTCAAACAGAGGAAATGTTATTTTCTCTCCTATTTTACTCCTTAATTTTCTTTTATCCCAAATTTTCTCTCCATCCAAACAGAGTATAAGGGAACAGGTCACCATTTGTAATTTTTCATTTTAATTTATTAGCTGCCAAATCAGCGCAAGGGGGAATGCCTTTCCAAATCCGTGAGGTATTATGTGGGATTTTGATTGCCGATGGATTGGAGAGGTCAATATTATTTATTACCCTCCAACCCATGTTCTATTAACGATAGTTTAGAAACCCAACTGGACAAATTATTTTCTGATTAGTTTTTAAAATTTTGAAATATGCTTTGGCAACCCCAAAAGAAAAAAAAAAAAAACCAAGAAGAAGAAGAAGAAGTTAAAATATGCTGCACATGATTTCCCATATTCACGTATATATGAAGTAGGAAATTTGTAACCATTCGTTTTTTTTTTAACTTTTATTTGTATGTGTTATTAATTTTAACACACCAGATAGGACAAAAATAATTTGCATTTTCAACATGAATAATATGCAAATAGAACACATGAAATTTGATTTTCTGTGCAACTAGGACATTTAGTTAGCGTCAATTTCAAGGATATGTTTCTTATTTTACTATTTTTATTGACAATTTAATTTTGTATTATATATGTTAAAATATATAAATAATATTTATCAATTCTCATGGTTTGGGTTTTATTAGAGTTAATTTGTTAGGTATATTGATCGAAAAATTTTTTTATATAAATATGTAGACTATTCTAATTTTATTTATAAGTCATTTACAATTGTTTTACTGGAACTAAACAAAATCTTAAAAATTATTAATTTATTTAAAAATTTAATAAGTTCTCAAATTTATTCCTATCAAATTTACATACATTAACAGCATTTTTTTCTCTCTTCAACATTTAAGGGAGGGTAAAAGAGAAATTTTTTTGATTAATCATGTTACTTGTAAATAGGATAAAAAAAAACTTCTCTCTTTGCACTATAAATAAAAATCGAAGGGGCATCTATTAATTTAAAATAACATATTTAATATTAGGTATATTTTTAGTCTTTCTTCAACCTTTTCTTTTGATAATCTTCCACCTTATGTAAAAAGAACTCTTTCCAAAAATGTAGAAAACCTTGTAGAGTTTTTCTACAATACTAGAGGATGCTTGTGTTCTAGCCACTGAACTTACTTTCCTTGGAAACTCTTTTACTCGTAGCATCAGATCCCTAATCCATGCTCATCGCCCCTAGCCATAAGAGGTTATTCAAACATCTAATCTGAATTTGTGTGGTTTCCTTGCCATAATTGCTAAATAGCACATTACACTCGAGATTGCACAGCCCTTGGTTAACACTTAGATCAATTATGGTTTTACTCAACTTCATGTTAGAGCCATCCATCTTATCTTAACCCTTCATGGGAGGAAGGGTATGGTGGCAACGGTTAGAGTCATTTTATTGGACTCTACCTTTAAGTCATATGGTAATAATACTTTAATTGTTGCCACGTTGACTACTCTTAACAATGGGAGCGTGGTGCTCATCATAGCTCCTGGCTTCAAAATAAAACTCATAGATTCAACTCTCTCCACAAGACTAAAAGTTCATATCCAGACCATGAAGCTGAACAACAACTAGAAACTATCATGGATACTCTCTACCATTAGATGATTTTTTAGCTTCAAGATCATTCATTTGATCTTAACTTCCCTAGCGACCAAAGATGCTTTGTATATGGTTGCAAACAATCCAAGTGATTCATTTGTCATCTAGATCCCAAGACATGTTCTAACAGAAGAACTTGCCTAAATGATGCCACTAGAATGGATCGACAACTATGAAAGACAGTTCTATAGTATACAGAAAGATGTCCACACCATGGAATCCCTTATACTTTACAAACTCCAAGATGGTACTATCAAAATAGTTTTTAAAAGACTTAGAACTTAAAGATCCAAACTAGATCTCTAAAAAGATACTATTGATAGCCCCAGCTTTCATTGGGGATGAAAAAGATTCTCCAATTGAGTGGTTCACATCATATGCCAAGCCAATCTATGTTTCTCATATCAATGGTCACTTTATTTGGGATTGTGCCCCAAAAATGTGTGATCCAATTGTGATTGCTACCTCTAGATTGATTCTGATGATGATGAAGAATATGGTTTCAAAAGGAGAAGAACTACCTAGATCTCTATGCAAGCACAAGTGTTCTCTAAAGGATGATGATGATGATCATGGCCCTAAACAAGCTTCTAGAGTAAGACCTCCAAATCCTCCCATAAAAAGGAGAACTTTCTTTGAGCTCATCAAAAGAAAAGAGTAAATATAACCACTCAGTAACCAAAGTACATATAAGTTATACAAATCCATGATAATTAATTATGAATGCAAGTGGCTAATAAATTCATCAAGATAACCATGTAAACAATCATATCAAAATTATATTAATCACATTAACATCTAATTCATGTGAATAATTTCAAGAATAAAGTCAAGTATAAAATTGGCACAATTGCCCACAAGTACTGAATGTTGTGCAAAATTGGCACAAGTACATGCATGTACATTTTTCACATATTTATCACTCAAGCTGCTAATTTGGCTAGGTTAGGCTTATTCGGGTTCAACTCAATTTAGGCTGAGTTTAAAGTATCTTACCCTTTTTAAAAAGTCCATATAGTTAAGCCTAACTCTAACACCTTCAACGAACTTATTCAGGTTGGCCCGAATATCCAAAAATTTTTAAAAATATTTTTTCTTTATTTTCTAACCCAATTTTAATTTTTAAATAATTATGTTAAGAATAAAATATTATTTTTACTTTAAAATAATAAAATAAAAAATAATAACTTATCAACTTTGTACTTAAGTACCTCTATTACTATTTTGTTGTATTATGTATAATCTATTCATGAATGTTTCCTTTACTTGTAAATTAATGTCTTAGTTGTTTAAGTATTGCTCTTATCATAGTCATATATAAATATTTTATATATTTTAATTAAATTATATTATTTTAATTATAATCAAATTAATCTCAATTCAATCACAGTTAGATCATTAACTTAAAATCATTGCCTCAATTAGTTTAAAGTTTTTAATAACTTTTGGGTAAACTATACTTTTCATTTTTAAGAATATGAAAAAAATAGCTTCATTATATTATATAAAATAAAATCATTTCATTATGTGTAAAATACTATTTTTTGCAATTGTTTTTTTTAACGTTTTATATTGTTTAACCCTTATATATAAGGGGTATTTACTTTAATTTATTCTTAATTTTTAATCAAGTTTGGCGTGAACGATAACTAAATTATTACCTAATAATATTATTTTATTTATTATGTTCATCTAGTAGTAGAGTCGAAAATTCATACATTCTGTTTTTATTTTTAAAATCATTTTTAATTTTTTTTACTTTAAAATTAATTATCTTATTTTATAAAAAATATGTTTTTGATATGCAAATGATATACAGGAGTCAAAAGTTTTTTTTTTAAAAAATTGGGTCTTAAAATATAAAAATTAATATTAAAATATATTTTAAATATTATTTTGATATATTTATTGAATAAAAATAATAAAAAAATATGAAAATATAAATATTTTTTATTTTTTTAAAAATAACTTTAGCAATGCACTTAAATATATGGTATCTTAGTATAAAATGACATAGAACTTAAATAATTACTTAATATTTATTATAATATATATATATATATATATATATAATTACTTTTTCAAGCTTCGCCTAAATTTTCTTGGGCTTATTCGGTCCTTGAACATTAAAAAATATTTTTTTAAGCTCGGTTGTAAATTTTTCAGGCGAGTTTAAGCTAGCCCATCAAGCTTGATGATAGGGATTGTCGTTTTCTTTCAAAATTAAATTAAAGCTAACTCTAATACAATATAGGGCCAACCTAGGTCATCTTCTCAGGAATGATTTTAAGTTTAATTTAAAAGTTATCTAGTAAAATAAATCACCTAAAATTTGAAGTTGATTAATTAATTGCTAACCTAATTATCTAGTGATTAAGCTAGAAAATTAATCCTAATTTTGAAAGAAGTGGCTTCTCAATTTAAGTAGGAAATTTAGGGTGTTGTTAATGGAAGGTTTTTAGCCTTTAATTAATTTTGGTAGCTCACTCAACTCCTCTTTGTTGGTTGAAAAATACATTTACTTAAAACAACTATCTCAAGTATCCTACCTTCACTAATTCAATTTCCTAAGGGCTATTACAAGCTCCCTAGGTAACCTTACTACCTTAGCTCTAAAGTTAATCAAGTGTTTAGCTAAAATTCATTCCCAAATGCCACTGCTCAAAGCTGCACCTAAGTTTAAAACTATGAAAACTCAAGCAACTCATCAAATATCGACTACACAATTATATGCTAGGCTAATACAAGACATTCACCCATTAAAATCACATATTCTTATGCAAATTCATAGAGTGGATGTAACACTTGTCCCTAGTGTTATCCAAAAATTACATAATTCAAATAAACTAAGTGTAGTTAAGGAGTTGATCCTCTAACCAACTTAAGACATAAATCATTTAAAATCTTAAAAAAAATTTATAGGTTCTACCTATAGCACGAAAGCAAGCTAGACGAAAGTGGAATAAAAAAATGCTGTCATAACAGCATTAAATTGTTGTCATGACAGCCCTCCTGGGCCAACTTCTGGGAGGCGCCGTTTTGTCATTCAACATTCGATCGAAGTGATTTTAAAGCTCACATGTCACTTTTAAATAGTACTATTAGCATACCAAATTTTAGAAAGATTTAATGGATGGATTGAATTTCGTGTATGTTACAACATTATCAATTATTGCTATCCTTTTGCTGTCATGACAGCTCCTCCGGACCAAATTCTAGAGTGCGCCATTTGATTGACGTGATTCCAAAGCCCACATGAAACTTATAAAAGGTTTTACTTGTGACCCAAATTTTAAAGAAATTCAACGATTTGATTAAGATTTGGACACTCGGATGCAAAAGTGTAATTTTTTGGTAAAAATCATTTTTAAAATTGTCCAAATCTCATCCTAATGGTCACAAACTTGTGGAAACACTTTGGACACATCAAATAGGACTAAAAACACCTGATATAACATTTAAATGATAGAAAAACTCTTTATACCAAATTTTGACCACCCGGTGCCAT